GAAGAAAATTTAAAGACAACCAAAGTATATGAGAAATTTGACGACCTGAAGATATTACGATACGCTTTGACAACTTTCCTTTCTCGCCATTGGGTAACAAGAACCTCATATGTACCAGGACGTCTTTGGGTTCTCTGGAGTTTCGATGTTGTGAATGTAAGAGCTAAATCGTTCACGAAGATGTGCTTTCTTCAGAATCGCTCTACCATGCTTTCAATTGTTTGTGTTGAAATAATAAAATTTTAATAAAAATTGTGAAGTAATCATTTTCTCGTCTTCGTCTTCCTAGCGCATAACGGTATTGTCATGAATGAAGATGGAAAGGGTGACAAGAAGAGTAGTTTGGGGAATTGGGAGAAGGCTTGATGGGAGTGATACGATGGAAAGCGCAACCACGATAAAAGGTACCAACTACGGGGGGCAAAAAAAGACATTTTGCCCATGTCGCACTTCGCGATTTTTTCTTCGCAGAGATTGCCGTCGTTGACGGGAGTTCCTCAGCAGAGTATTCCCTAATGTCCCTCTATAAGTAGACGCAGGCCCTCCTTCACTGCCCTCACCGTCTTCAGAATATGACGTCATCTGTCATCGTCGTCGAGCTCAAGGAGGCTACCGTAACTGCTCCAGCCTGAAGCTCTAACACCTTGAATCGATTCACTGTCGGATAGTATTCTAAAGAAACTAGCTCTAACCCCTTGCAACCAGCGTTTCAGATAAGGTCGTAACGGTACACGGTCCGTCAAGGAATCTTACTGAGGTCGACCCGTGCACCATGTCTCCGTGGCAGATTTTCCTGAGGTCGTTCACGTAAAGGCCACTGCCAATTTTTTTATGAAATGAAATGTGCTTAGCAAAGTTTCAATAAATTTCATTTGAATGTACAAAATATCGCTGCATTTTTCTTCGACCACAACCTTTTAGGGCAGGTTCGATACACTTTAGATAGCCCAGTTTCTGTATTTCCACACCCACAATTATTTGCAAAGAAGACTGTCTTGATGAAAGATGTGACCAATCAAGGGATGAGAACTCGCATTTGCATTTAAAGGCAGCGATTACGATAGATTCTAGAGGTTCGGAGAGGACGTGGGGGTGCTCAATAGCACGCCAATAAAGGCGAAAAAAGCGGAGAATAATCAAGGATACCCAATGTAGAACTTCTGAATTATCCATTTGTTTTCGCACACGAATTAGCAGCAACAAAGAAAAAGTTGTTCGGACGTGTTAACCCCGATAGGCGCCATCATGCCTACAAGCATAGTGTTTTGATTGTTAAGGCATTACATAGGCAAGTTGGAAGGCAAAAGGATAAAGGATAAAGCATTTGCCGTC